AGTTATATTCCACTGAAGTGCCCAAATTCTTCTCATACCTACATCCATGAGTGTTTTAAGATGCTTCTCCAGATTTTTATTCTGTCTGGAGGTTTCCATTCAACGTTTCACCCCAGTCATCTGAAAAAGCGTTACTTAGTGTTCTGTGAAAGTATGCACATGTAGCAACTTGTATTGTGTTTCTTGGTAATAATGTTATCTTTCGGAACTACGCCCACCATATCAACAAAAAATCATCAAATCATTAGAAGATATATGATTTGCAAGAGAACCACAGGAAAGGTAATAATAATTAAAAAAGTGAAAGCAAACGCTATACGCTTTCTTTTTAAGTTGTTAATTGGGAGGCGATGTCCACTAATTCAAAACGTTTCTGAGAAGAAAGGAAATTCAACAACATATATGAAAAAGCCTGCTGACGGTTAACTTCGTAGAATTCTGTAAGAACTTATAAGCGCACTTTATACAGAATGCTACTTCTCTGAAGTTTCCGGTTGTTTACTAATTTATACTCTGTTATTCACCCAACCCTGATTTTCTGATACCTTGAGGTGTATAATTTTGGTCTTCGCAGTCCAACTCCACACAACCTGTGTTTCAGCCCAATTTCAGATTTTGTCGTATTTCTCTCGACGTTGTCCAAAAGATTAGTCTCTGTTTTCAGGAGGAGTTTTGCAGCACCGTTGTAAACATTCAATTTAGGCTATATAGACGCTTGAGGAGCACCTAAATCTTTACTCACAAGGTGAATGCTGTAGTATTCCTACCTGCATTCCTGAGGTAGCTCTTAGATTTTCCTTGCCTCCTATTGGATACTGATTGGGACCGTACTCCATCATTGTATTGGAGAGGCGATTTCCGAGATGGGGAGCGGGAAGTTGTCTGTGTAGCTTACATTGACATCAGATGCCAGTTTGCTTGTGGTCGTCCAGCTGACTGGAGTGGTTAAGCCACCTTCTAGTTTAAACAAAGAGTATTAACTTAGCACTGCACTACTCGATCCCTTAAGTATAGGGGTGAACTTAAGAGACTGATTTATTCGGTATGTAGCTGTTCACAGCACTCCAGAGGATGACATTCTCCATACAGAGAAGTTTAAAGAATTTTCCGATCATCAGAGTGAGCCCTAATCAAGGGTAATACTGGGTTCCCAATTGATAAATAAGCTAAGGTCACACCAGGTAGAGTAAATAGGATTATTGACGGTATATATTTATACGCCGCCAATATTTCTGATGGTCCTATTATCCCTCTCGGGAAACAAGACTTCCTGGTATCATATAGTCCTGTGATTCAAATTCAACTATTTAAGTGGTAAAATAGGACCTAAACGCCGTTACTTGTAGCTGGTATTGATATCCGTAATCCGCCAATTGGTTTCTGTGTATCTGGAGGTTTCATTGTTGACATCGAGTAGCTGTTACTTTAATCGTCCCCGAACCCTTCTGAAGTGTATTCGGCGCCAGCGATCCGTCTACCCCACGGTCTGTATGATTATTGAACTCTATCTCAATAACCTAGCGAGTGCATTATTGTAAGGCGTACTAATTAGAGGTACAGAAACATTCGTAGTTCAAAAAGTCGATATTTTTATGACAGACACGATGCAAAAATTCTCACAGCTTCCAATTCAACAGAATTGTAGGTGGAACTAAACCCAGTGGATTATAATTCAGGGATATAATTGGTGATTTTAATTTCAAGGAAAGCACAACTAGCATCGGTACAGGCGGTTATATGGCATATCTCTTTTTGAAGTGGTGTCACCCTTATCCGTTGGTTATCAGTGCGTTTCGATAAATAGGCCAAAATAAAACATCAAAGTCTCATGAAAATTCGAAATTATTGACTGAAATTTTGGACTCACTACCCGTTTTTAATCCATTACATTGATCAGACGTCAACATCAAGTAACGCTTTCTGTTAAAAGTGCAACACGTATAACTCATTTCAAGAATAGAATCCCACCGATAATATATATATATCATAAAAAGATTTTCAATGCGAAATTTCATTTAACAAGCATACAAAAAGTATAATGCATCATAAAATCACTAGAAATGTACTGCAACGCAACAGTTAGCGGGGATATACACATAAGGCCACTCGCAATTCAAATAAAGTATAATTATATTTCAGTGGTTTACACACTATGATAAATTTTTGTTATTGGTAATGTTTAATTGTGTGTAAACCATTGGAATCTAATTATGCTTCATTTGATCTATTCCACAGTGCTCAAACCTTTTACTGACGCTCAAGGCTTTTCGAATGCTACTGGCACTTTGAAGGGCCTTCAAACGATTAGACGAGGGTATGTTCCAAGTACTTTAGGCAACATATGTCAGACCTCATCTGGAATAAAGCAAAAATTATTATTATTATTAATACTGCATACAAGCGGTGAGTCCATGCTTCAAAAAGAAGGCATATATCCTGGAAAGAGTATGGGGGGTAGGAACCAAATTAGTTAGTAGTATGTCACATTTTCCTTGTGATAAGAGGATGGAACATTTAAATCTCTTCCCATCATCATACCGAAGGAGGAGAGACGAATTAATTTTGCCATACTGTCTATTAAAGGGTGATTTACAGATTGACCTTTCAAACCTTTTTTCTCCTTCTAGGATACATTTACGAGGTCATCACAAGAAGGTACTCAAACCGAGGTCGAATAACATATGTGTGTATTTTAGATTCTCTCACAGAGTGGTCAACGACTGGAACTCCTTTCTTGATTCAGTAGAAACAGCTCCATCGGTGAACGCTTTCAAAGAAGAACTAGATCTCTGCAGAGATATATATTGCAAGGATTAGCATAAGCAACAAGAGCCTTTCATTCTTATAATCTGAATCTGAAACATTAAAACACTTGCAATTGTTTTCACCAGCTACGTTGTGACCTTGGAACCCAATTCGCGGTCTCAGCGAGAGTAACGGTATTTTGGGTGTTCCTACCTATTGCTCTTAGTAATCCCTAGTTTTCGTGGACAGATGGCTAACTATCGAGCTTATACTAATGCGGATACACCTTTTGTGATTTTTTTTCAGAGAGTTAGTGTCTTGTGGAAAACAGTTCTTTCTCATCTTGCCCCTCTATGGTCAACTTGGGTTCAAAACTTGTATATTCGATAAAATGTTAAGGTCAGCATATGGAATTGTCTGTAATAAGATTTGTGAAAACAAATCTTAATGACCAGGTTTCCCTTTACTACTACTTCTCCGTTAGGACTGTCTACCAAGGGCTAAAATCTAAGAATTACCTCGTTATAACCCTGTGTTTCATTGGGTACTCTACCAGTACCGGTTTTTACATTGAAGCATTACAGGTAGACGGGTTTGAAACGTCTGGCAACAGGTGACACGCACTTATGGAACTGCAAACTACATTATACTGACTAAGTGACACACATTTCGTTATCCCCTACTGGTGTCTGGTTACATCTATGCACTTGACGACGTCCTTTGACATGAATTGGCCTCTAAGAATTGTCTACATGGTCTCTGACCCTATCATTTTCTCATTATCTGTGTGGACGAAAGCTTACCATCGAAGTTTTTCGTTTCCAGCTCTTTCCAATCTGGCTGTTCTCCTATCACTTCTATGATAATCTGGGACCAATTTTTGCAGCATATTAGGAATATATACCCTATATAATTCATTTTTATTATATGTCGTAGATACACTTTGTAAATTAAGTACCACTTTTCACCTGAAAGAATCTGATTGGCCGTTTCAAGGTCGTCTAAAGTTGGTGTCTATTCTTTACTGTTGCCACTTCTAATCCTTATTTCGGTGGATATCTATGTGCCCCCAATGATGAACGTTCTGTAATTCCCTTTTTTTCTTCCCTTTCTGACAATGATTCGACGAATGTTGTTTAGCGTGGTTAGATATAGCTGCTTTCTTCCCAGGTGAACTCCTTTATCCATTCTCTACCTATTTCCTCTCATATATTGTTTTAATGTTATTTTGCTGCGCATCTTCTTGGTGCCTATAATTTACCAGGTTTTGTGTTTTAAATGAAATTCAGAAAATAGTTGTTTTAATAAATGCACCTGTTTCATTAAGGACCAGGGCATATTTGCATGTATTAACTCTACAGTTATGTGTGCAGCGTTTATAATTTAAGAAATCATAGTCATTTAATGAGCCCTTCGCGGTTTTACCGTTTCAAGGCATGTACATAGACACTCATGACCTAATCTCTGAGACAAACGTGATCGCTAATATGATCATACAGTCTATATATCGTTGGTTGTACCCATTGGTCAGTGGCACAGCGGTTAGGACTCTCGCCGACCATGCAAGTGGTCCGGGGTTCAATCCCCTGCCGACGCACATCTGGTATCAATGGTTGGCCTGCAATATTTGGGCTACCGATATCACATGCTGAAAATCCCATAATTGTACCAAAAATACTGAGGGGTTTCAAGCCATAAATTAAAAATTCAAATTGGTTTCTAAGTGAGTGGAATACTCATCCAAGCATTTTTAAGACCAAAACGGCCGAAATTCTTATTGCAGAGCTCAGCTACATGAGCAGCATATATCTGTGGTTAGCCGCTCGTACCATTAGTATATAAATATAAGCATACTGACGAAGCCTAGATTTGAAATAGGAGAATACTTTTCTTCTGTATGTGCCAAGATCTCCTCCACATTCGACTTGTCAGGGATAGCTGAACTTTTCATTGGCATTCAACTCAATTAAATCATTCGGAAAACTGACTGCAAGGTATTCACTTCTTTTTTGGCAGCGTTCCATTTTTGTATCCCAATGGAGCCATTAATGGCTCTTAGAAGCAGCCGATTTAATGAGTGTGCTTCATAATAAAAGTTTATTTTTGGATTATTTCAGAAATACCGATTGCAGCTAATGTACATTTTAAAAATTTTGAAAGACAATCTGTCATTTGGGCTTATTTATTACTGATACTTGTATTTTCATTTCAGATTTCGAACTTTGCAACCATTATACAATAAATATTGCATTATCATGACTTTCGTCAACCTTTTATTGAGAAATCCAAACAAAACTCAATTTTTCCGACTTCTCTCCATAAACCGTTCGGTAATTCTCTTATTTGATCCTTAGTTTCTTCCTAATTAAGGTAGCGCTTAGCAGATTTGAGAATAAGACTTTGGATTATGATAAATTAGAGCATACTTTGAATACAGTAAAGAAGCGGTAAGTGTTTGTATAGCTGTCCATGACAATTCTAGACTTGCACACCCGCTAACTTTAGCTGAAAAGGTACTTTATTCTCATCTTGATGATCCAAAAAATGCAGTAATTTGTACTTTTTCCAAAGATCCTTTTATTTTTAGATTATTGAAAGGGGTAAAAGTTACCTCATGCTTCGACCTGATCGTGTTGCAATGCAAGATGCTACAGCTCAAATGGCATTATTGCAGTTTATTAGTAGCGGTCTTCCACGTGTTGCTGTGCCTTCAACAGTTCATTGTGATCATCTTATTGAGGCTAAAGATGGTGCTGGGGCAGATTTGAGTCGAGCTAACGACACTAATAAAGAAGTATATGATTTCCTTGCATCTGCATCAGCTAAATATGGAATTGGATTTTGGAAACCTGGATCAGGAATTATACATCAGGTGTGCATTACACTAGTTCATTAGCTCTTTTTTTCTTTGTCGCCTATATATGCAAACTTCATGGTTAATAAAATTAGCCTGGGGCGTTTGATGTTAAATGTGATAAGAACTTTTAAAAATATTTGTAGGGAATGGTTTCGTGCAAAATTTCTAAATACTGTTTAAGTTTGTTATAGGCTCATGAGCAGACTAAATAAGTAATTATACTTATTTCAAAAAGTGATCATAGTGACAGCACTTAATTACTTAATTTAACCAACCAGGAGTTTCATGTAGGTATCCTGGACGTAAAACTCAAGTATTGTGCATATGTCAAACTGTTGATTACTTTTTGGATACTTTGTTAACCCTATACTACCAGGGAACAAGCTTGTAAAATGTAGTCTGCTTTAGTTAACTGACTTCAAACCCAGATTAAAGAAAGTTGTCGTTGTGAAGCTTAGAAATTGACAATTAAGTATATCGTCACGACTAGCCAAGAATTACATTATCGGGATATTCACATTATGTGAAATACTTGGGATTTCTGAACAAACCCCTAGTTAGGTTGATTTTAGTGTTTGTTTTCATCTTAAAGCTTACTTCAAAGGTGTGTAAAATATTACTGTAGGTGAATTAATATCGATATACGTGTTGAACTTGTGTATTGTAGCATTATATAATGCTATATGAATCTGTTTATCGGGTATATCACACAGTGAAGCGGTTTTTATTTACTCGATGACGTTTTGAACACCATTTATTGTTCACAACTACATTATTAAATGTAACTACAGAACTGTAGAACTTGACTTTTACAGTTCTCCGTCTTTCATACTTGTTGTAAGGGTAGTGCAATTTTCCAAATGTCTTAGGATAGGTATTGAGTTATTCTCATTGGATGGATTCTCAGGTGATTCTATAAATAAAGCTCCAGTTATCAATTTCTCCATCCACCCTGTTACATTGAATATTAAGCCTGTCCCCACTAACCTTATGACAGATATGAAAGAAGGACAAGAATTTAAAGAAAATCAGGTTTTGAAGTTGACTAACTACAATTGTTATGATTACGAACAAGAAATTGTCCCCAAAATGTCATCTAGTAAATAATACTGTTTCGCTATGTGATATATTCAATAGACAAACTGACACAAAATAGCTTTGGGTGATTTGTTTTCTTTCATAATCTTTGAATTAAATAACTTTCAACATACCTTCAATTTTATGTTACTTTTATGCATAAAACTATAAAATATGTGATGTCTCCATGCTATTGTGCTTTTTATGAACACCTAAGTCAACGAATAGGTTTCTTTCAAAAACTTATCAAATCTCTGCAGTTATTTACAAGTTTTATATATAATGTCAATTGCCAATAGGAGTTAGAAGTTATTATCAGTTAGTAAAAACAGAGATAAATCAAAGTTCATAAGAAATAGTGAGAAATCTCACGTAATCGGAAAAGTGTATGACTAACGAGAAAACGAGAGCACAAAGAAATGACTGCTGGTCACAAGCAAAGAAATGTAACAAAAATTAATTGAGTAAAAAATCAAGAAAAGGAAATTAAGACTAAAGCGGTGATATTAAAAGAGGCTGGTATGGCATTTCTGAGTACATTGTTCAGGTTTCCCTTTATGGATGGAAAGAGCTTAGGCTTCATGAAGATGTGCCTGAAATCATTTTTACCACATCGATCCTCCTTCATATATCACAATGAATTCCTTACCAATGTTGTACGACCATTGTTATTTGGTTTTGTGTATAGAATAACTAATGTTGAGAATTACGGAAACTAGTTCTGACATAACTACTCACTCTTGAAGTAAACTCTATGAAAGTCATTGATTGAAATTGTAATCCAGCTATGAAGTTACAAATATACATTGCTCAAAAGGCGAATTTCATGGAGAATCAGCTGTTTAATTCTCGTTGTCTTTCAACAGTTTGTCTTCTCAAAGTTATATTCATGTTCAAGATATTATGCTGCCATTGTATTTAGCGATGTTTATCCTGCAATAGAATTTACCATCGCGAAAGAAAGAGACTCTAGTACTCCATTCCTAGACGTTCATTTTACTCATTTTTTCAGCTTCGTACCTTTGAAATACAAACGCAATCTAATAAAGTCCTTGGTCCACAGATCAAAAGCAATCTACTCTGATGAATGTCTTAATGAAAAGCTTAATATCATTAAACAGTTGCTGAGTAAGAACGATTACTCAGAAAAATTCATCGATAAGAATATGAATAAAAAATCAAGGCAGGCCAAAGTACCAACAGTTCTGAAAAAGGTCTTTAACTGCTCCTATGGAGCCACTTACATAGACCGTACAATTAGGCGTGTTTATCGTTGGAGTCCCGAAAATCATCCTGCATGGTGGTTAAGTAAGGGACAAAAAAGGTCCATTCATAGTTCTATACCGTCTCATCTCGTGGATACAAAACACAAAATTGATGTAAATCAGGCCTCCAAAGTCATCTGCCATATACTAAATAAGCTTAATTTTACCTCAAGAGTTCGGCTATTACATATTGCTGAGGTTGGTGGTATCCACATTAAGAAACCTAACTTATGTATCCAAAAGAAGTTGGTTGGTTCAGACACTATCTTTACCCCTCGACCATCAAGGTTTGAATGATCCTTAATTTGTTGTAGAGATTTGCTTAATTTTATTTTATATTCTATTTAGTAGTACATTTTTATACTCATAACTTAAACATCTTTCTTGAACTGTCGTCTTAACAGATCGATAGTATTTAAAACAAAACGCTAATATTGTTAATGACGACTACTCTAGAATATTCTATATATATTAAGACATATATATACATATGCATATATATATATATATAATTGTAGAGCCAGGAGAGGAAATTATTAAAAAGAATATTCTTCACTCAAATTTTTCTTTTTTATGATTCTGTTATTTTTAAAGATTGTATTAGAAAACTATGCTTTTCCTGGTGCGTTAATCATTGGAACTGATAGTCATACGCCTAATGGCGGTGGACTTGGCGGTCTGTGTATTGGAGTAGGCGGTGCAGATGCTGTAGACGTAATGGCTAACTTACCCTGGGAATTAAAAGCACCTCTGGTAATTGGTGTTCATTTGACTGGAAAGTTATCTGGTTGGACAAGTGCAAAAGATATTATACTGAAGGTATGAGCATAGTTTTTTTCAATTGTAGCATTTAATTCTGTAGAATTATATCCTGATGATTATTATTATTTTTTCCGTGTGGAACACAAAACATCAGCAGTCCATATCCACTTGACTCAGTTCTCTGCCATCACTTTCAGCTGGCTCCACGACCATCCACAAAATTTCACTCCCATCTCACACGATCATCTCTGTGTCACCCTTGTACATTCAACTTTTAGCTTCCTATTCGGGTTCTACTCAAGGACTGGAATGCAATGTCACTTTATAGTCTCCTTAGTGTGTATGTCTTAACCATCTGCATATTGGTTGGTTCACCTCCAGAGTTCCTTGTGTTAAAAATTCGGATGTTGTTCCTTGTGCTAATTGCTGCAGATCTCCTCATCAGATTCTGTAGAATACATATCTTGTATGTTTGCCTCTCAAATGGATTTGTTTTGTTCAAAATCCAATAAATACACAGTTCAACGACTAGTCAGATTTTAGTATGTTGGTGTACATAGTCTTAATGTTAAACAGTACAACATGAAATGAATCAACTAGAGTTTGTTGAAATAATGCATTAGTTACGGATAGCATATTTCCTCTATTATGTTATTCCTATATATGATAAAATATTTTTTGTTTATACAGGTAGCTGAAATTCTTACAGTAAAAGGTGGAACTGGAGCTATTATAGAATATTATGGTCCTGGTGTTGAATCAATTTCCTGTACGGGTATGGCTACAATTTGTAATATGGGTGCGGAAATTGGTGCTACAACATCAATTTTCCCTTTTAACGATCGTATGTTGGACTACTTACGTGCTACAAACAGAGCGGATATTGGTGATTTAGCATCAAAGCATAAGGTAATCATTTCAGCGTTAAGTATATTCGAAGTTTGTCTTTTTTTCATTCCCCTTGCGTTCTGAGTAGAAGGTAGAGCTTCAAGCTTCGAACTTTCAGTAGCACGGGTCTAATCTCTATGGAGTGAGGTAGCTAACTTCACTCCCCAACCTCCCCTCTTTTTTCTGAACCTACTCCTGGTTAGGTGAGGTTTAGGGGTACGTCAGCTTAGAGTCAAAGCCGAACCTCCTGGATGTCTACTGAACATTCCACTACTATGATGGCATATGTATATCACGTCTATACGTTTAAAGTGCCGTAGGATAGGGCAAAACACAATTCCTGCATTTTACTAATAAAAAAATCACCAAACAAATAATATCGAACTAACCATTGGTTCATATAGTTTCTTTCAAAATATGAGAACCACTTTGTATTCTTTGCTGTCCTCTAGTTACGTAAATACTTCGAACTCCTAGAAATTCCTATTCTAATTCTTCTAAATAAAAACTCTTCTGTTTCTTTTTACTGTGTTAGACTGTTTCAAGGATTCGCTGTTACAATTTTTTTGTGGCGTACTCAAATTTTTCTTTCCTCTTGTATTAGACAGGCTTTATATTTTGAAAGAAGAGTCTAGGGAGATTTGTGCTTAAACTGCTAAGGGTAGTAACGCTTGAAACTGTTGTGAAATTGGCTGGGGGATTTCATCATGAGCTGACATGTCACAGAACCATTGGAAAACCAACAGGGAGTTCTGGACAACTGTTTCTTCCTAGTTTGTGATTCTTCATCGGTATGCACCCTCCGGGGTTCGAAGAGTCCCAAATCAGGACGAGACGGTTTTCCACTACTCTCTGTTGGTTTTCCAATGGTTCTCTGACTGATGTCAGCTCATGATGAAATCCTCCAACCAATCAAAACAAACAAAACTTGAAACTATTGTGAAATTGTTTGATCAGTCCCTAGGAGTGGTTATATATTTAAATAAAACGGAGCCGGTGCTTATTTGGATTGTTTCTGTTCAATTCTCATATATTTCATACTATGTAGATGTATATCTTACTGTTTCAAACATTTGAGTTTTACTTAGTGGGTGTTGTTTTCGAGTTCCACTTCCCCTTAAACTGGGGTATACTTATACAGATAATAATACTTCTTACGAAGCCCTACCGTTATTTTATCATTAACAACATATTTCTGCATGTAAAGCTGTGTGTCTCATTAGTCTAGGCGCTCATTTTCTTTCTAGTGGGTCAGATGTTCAAACCCGATTCCACCCACCCAGGTAGTATCAGTTAACCATTACAAAATAAGTGTGTTGTTTTTTGCCAAGCGTATGGAAAGCATTTGCCAAAATGGTTGAATGCAAAGTGCCAAAAACCTCAATAACAAAACATCTTGTGGACTATGAACTTGATATCGACGCTGTCAAGTCATTGACTATTGTCAGCAGATAAAGAAACAGGAAGATGCTTGTAATTGCAAAGGCTTGTGCAATCCGAGTTTATAAACTAGGTCTCTGTGTACAAAAGTAGATGATCGTCACTCTGTATCTACCATGGTAATACGTTTTACTTATTATTCTACCCCTTATTATTATTCTTGATTTATTTAAAACTATCCTTTATCAGTAGCATTATCTTAACTCACTTCAACATTATTATTGTTGTTTTTATTATAATAACTATTACTATTGATATTACTGTATTTGCAGTTCTTGATATATTCTCTAGTGACTAATTGTTTATCTAAGTGATGTCATTAAAGCGTAATGCATTTTATCTTAATTTTAATCTCTCATACTCCCTCTTCCCTTATCTATTTCAACATGACCCGGAAAACATTCGCTCCTGTCTTTCTGCATGACTAATTCAATGTAGTTTATTTGCTTATCAGTCTTATATCTCCCAATGTAATTTCAAAAGTATATATTTCCGTGTATGTAGAGTATTCAACTGACGAGTTCTACCGAAATTTGATGAATTCACTAAATCCTGGTTTATTAACCTTTGTTGCTTGTTTTAAATTCGTATCGGGAAATAAATGTTTTCAATTCACCTATTAGTATTTTAATGTCACCAAATGGAGTATTGTCCATTGTTGGCTGTAGTTGCCTGTAGAACTCTTCTTTCTTTTCAAGGTCTGCGTTGTTTTTGGGTGAATAGCATTGTATAACTGTCACTTTCCTTCCTTTTGAGTTGAATCTGACGGTCATTGTTCTGGGCGAGATCGCCTCCCGTAGTATGGGGGTCTTCGTTGCCGTTGGTGACATCACGATAGCCACACCCTTGGTGTGCTCGTGGTTGTCTTCTGGGTGACCGGAGTAGATCATTGATTCTTCCGTTGACAATTTTGCGAGTCCACTCCCATTCCATCTGCTTTCATATATTCCCAGTACTTGAATACCATCTCACTTGCAATCTGGGCAGTTGGCTAGTCTCATACATGGTGCGGACGTTCCATGTCCCCGTACAGACTTTTTATTTTGTCGCAAGGAGATTCATCGTTTCTGCAGAAGCTTTGTTTACTGGGCGGGGTTGCTAGCCTCACACCTGAGAAGGGGGTTGTTACATGTATACGTAGTTTACAGAGAAGAGACTTGATGAGTTGCCCCCCCCCCCTTAGAATCAGGAAAACAAGGAATAAAGCAATCAGAACAACACCAGCAAAAGGAAGAAATTCACAACAGGAAGGGCAGCGACAACAAAAACTGTAGCAATAATATCACTATCAAATACAGTTAACAAAATGATATGAAAACCATAGACTCACTGATTTGGATCAACTTGGGCATGTAAATCCAATAATATGTAATGTTGTAGACATTAGTGTTAAACAGTCACAAAGTGCCAAACAGTTGGTTAAAGGTATTAACGGTCAACAAGATTACATCCACAGATTCAGTGTTCGAAGGTAAACGAATTACAATAAATTCCACAATATCCTGGCCAGAAACACCGCAGAAATGAGAGTTTTATGTAACTAAGCAAACGTAGCATACTAATCGAAATCGCGTTCAAAGTTTGTTTCTGCTTGTAGGGGATATTCATTCTAAAGGGTTTCAATATTTCAGCTGAGTGATCTTTAAAATGCTCTATAAATAAGGCAAAACGATTTTCCTTACATATTCAGAAGGTGATTTAATTTGTGCTTCTTTATTTGATTTGCCGCGTATATATCTTTTGATGAAATTCCTTGGATATATGTACATTTTCCTGAGAAATAATGGTCAAGAAATGTCTTTCCTGTTCTCTTCAGGATACAGGAGTGCTACAGTTTGTCTTGGCTCTTATGAATAATGTCTCTACACAGAGCTCCTTTTTGTACTGTTGCTGTTATAAAAACTATATGTGTACTAATAAATATTGTATCCTTTACTAGCAACAACTCCAGAGTTGTATTTTTAATAAGCAACTGCTCAATTATCTTGATTAGTTCATTTAACGCAGTTAGTTGATAGTTGTTATTGCCATTGTAAAACAATACGAATAGTATATAGTCAAAATGTGGTTAAGATAATCATCTAACACCATCCACACTGAGGTGTGATGGATGGTAGCTGGCAGTGTAATCCACAACTCTCGTTTCCTTCTATTTCGTAATCGTTGTGTAGGTGTGCATTCTCCCCACATTGATGAGTCCTAAATAGGACGAAGTACGCGTTCTGGGTCCCAATGCTCCTAGCCACCACCAACTAAATAAAAATTGAGTTATTAGCCCTGGTCATATCGCTGCATCCGTTCAGGAATGAGGCTAATCATTTCGATCACCAGTGTGAATAACACCATATACGTATAATTTTCTATGCTCATATCATTGTTTATTCTCTGTGTTTCTTCTTAGGGTTCTTTGCTTACACCTGATGCAAACTGCAAATACGATAAAATAATTGAAATCAATTTAGATACCTTGGAACCACATGTCAATGGTCCATTTACTCCTGATCTGGCTCACCCGATTTCACAAGTAAGCCATTCATTTGCATTTGGGTTAGATTGTTCATTGCAGTTTATTATGATTATTATAATAGCTATTATCGATCTCAACTGGGTTTGGTGACGTGTAGGTCGCTTGACTAATGTCCTTATCATTTGAACATTCAGAAGTTGAATAACTGTAATGTCATGCACACAAACCACCATCATCATCTGTGTGATACCAATTTCATTTAGTCAATTCTCTCTGCACTTATTTGTTTATTTTGCATGTCATTTTATTTGAAGTCACTTGGATGATGGTGACTAGCAGTGGGATCCAGGATGATCGTTTCGTCCTGTTTGGGACTCATCATCTTGATTTACCTGCATTTTCCAGTGAGTGATGGCGTTCTCATGTTTTGTGTGTTGTCGAGGAGAGCGTGACAACCTGAAAGCAGATTCACCTTTGCACAAAGTTTTGCACATCCTTCTGTCTATCTTTCGTGGTGTAATTTGGTGTGTAGTTGCGGCTGTAATTAGTTAAGCAACCCAGTGGCCAGAAATTCAGATCTTATCCCATGTCTTGAGATCATACCACTGAAAGTAGACGATACGAAAAGATCACAGATTTTTTTTGAGCATGACATTGTTTTATTTAGATAGAACTAGCTAATCAGTAATTTTGGGATTAAATGTAGAATGTTAGGTGAAGAAAAGCAGATCGATCGATAGATTGTTGTGCATCTTGATGGACAGAATATCTATTGTGTTTACTCAACCGCTGCCATCTGAAAAGACCACTCAATGTTGAATGAGATATGGGATTAAGTTGCAATATGAAATCATGTATGTGTGGTCAGACCGCAATATATAGCACTAATTTTTCAGGCCTATAACCTTTGCTTTCAGTTATGCAAAATTTCACTGGATATTAAGAATTAGAGATTTGGAAATAATAATGATAATTGTTAACTGGAAAACAGTTACAATGACATTGGACTTCCGAATATTTGTGCTAGATGTCTCTTGATTTTTATTTACCTTGTAAAATTTGTATTTGTTTATTACAGGTTAGCATTCTGTGTCTGTTCTTTTTTTTACTCTCTGTATGTTCTGTTTCGAAATATGATGACTTCACAGCTGAGATTGTTTTATGTGAAAGTTTGTCCAGTCACTGAACCCAGATTGTCTTATTAGATAGGGTAATTTTATTAATTTCCCCCCTCCCACTATTACATTTCTACTCCTAAAATGACACTGATCTTAGCGTGACCCTTCATCAATTTTAGTTGAACTCCACTGTATCCTGTCAATTATGTTACTACCCCATTCAATTTACGTATTTATATTCATTAATGCCTTCTGTATTACGTAATTCTTATCTCTAAGACCTACGATTTAAATGACGCATCTTTGAAGACATTCCTTCTATTGCTATATATATATATATATATATATATATATATATATATATATATATATATGATTGTACAGTTAGAGAATGATATCACCGAAAAGAGTAACTCCTCACTAAACACTTTTACTTCACTATGATATATCCTCAAGGTGGTATCATATTCACCACTAATAAATGTGAAGGTGAATAATTCTACTCACACCACTGGTAACTAGCATAGAAGACGTAGATTCTCTCAAATTTTAACGAGAAATTGTGATGAGTGAAGCATACCCACAATTTTGTAGAGCACTGATAGCACCAGGTTAGCGGTTGTGCTATATTCTCAAATTGTTTTTGCGTGTCGGTACTATTGTTTTGTTGTTGTTGTTGTTGTGTAGTGGTAGTGGCAGTAATTGACATTGTGATTAGAGTAGTTTTCCTTAGCGTATTCAGTCCGTATGGTTGTCATCTCAAACTGTAAGTAAATACAATCTAGTAATTGTGTAAATTTTTGTGACATTGAGCGGATGGGGGTTGCTTAATACACGGACCAAGTGTTTAAAGTAGCGCTCCATGGTTTCGTCAACTGACTCGATTAAAGCTTGTACTATCATATTTTTCAATTGTTCCAGCCCATTACTTCATCATCTTTTTCACTGTTGACTAACTAGAAGCTTGATATTAGATGGTTGGAGGCAATCGGCAGGAAGCCTTGGACCTAAGTTTCGTGCTAGTTGGCACTCATCAGTCAGCAGAGCGTATCCGCAACCTTGAAGGAATTCACATTCCTTCTGCGATTCGGACCCGCGTCACCCAGTGCTGCAGTCAGAGACGTTACCACTGAGCTGTTCGGGCTCATGATGGCCCCCAACCATATAATATCAAAAATTCAAAATGCGCCGTGATGGCGAGCTACCTGGAATGGTGGCCACATTGCAAATCTAACTGATAGAATTCAGTCTGCACCAAACAAAGGACTGAATACATTACACTGGTTATTAACTAGTGTCAAACTAAAAGTAACTGAAAGCTTAAAACGTATATCTATATATCTTTAAACAAAGAGCACTAATCAATTTACTTCACACTGCTTATCCCTAAAATGCGGTTTGGTTTTCTATATTTAGAAACATTTTATATGCGTATGATTTATTAGTATTTCAAAAAAGTTAAGTTCGTAAAATAGATTATTATTATAATCATTCATATTGATTCTTTTGGACCAGCTGACTGACATTATGTTGTCATAATTTGTTGCACGAGTTATAATCTTACTAGAATATCTATTGGCTATTGTGTGTGTGTGTGTACTAATAATCCCTTGGTCATTATTATCATGTGATCTTTATTCGGTGTTTGTATATATATGTGGACATAAATCACTATTTGTATTTTCATTTCACTTTTGTATGTGTGCGTATATCCGCATGTGGCTAACATTCTTGTTTATATGCATTTAACCTAGTAATAATAGTCAAAATACATGAATATATGTTTTTATGTAGGTCATATTTTCAAGTTTAGTACACTTAAGAATAGATAAACTACACTACACTAGTTTATCATTCAGTGATCATTGCGTATACACATTAGTTAGTGCTATAAACTTTGACCTGAATCACCTGAAACGGGCTCTTTATCCTCCTTTTTGGCTGTGAGACATGGCCCCCATTGAAAGTGCAAGATACGCAAAAAGGCCTGGCTAGCTAGCTGTCTTTGATCATACGTGTCTGCCTTCTATCTCTCGTGTTAGGTAGCGCGTGGTATTATGAGATGAGCAACATTGAGGTTAGCATCGGTCGAGTGCTAGGTGAGTTGAAGGAGAAATCAATCGACGAGGTTGTGAAAGCATCTTATTTCCCACTGTATTGACTATCAATAGTCGTCTTATTTCCCATCCTATTATATTTTATTGATAACACTTATATTATTTATGAATGTACTTTCGTATGAGAGATTACAATAAAGAAAATAATGCATTATAATTCAGTTACGTCACTTAAATAAATAATTAATTTTCAGAGAAAGAACTTGAAAATATCAAGAATTGCAAATTGGATACTATTGATTGTAATTGTAATACTGTTAAAAGGAGTTAAGATAACGTTACTGATATAAGTAACTCTCATTTTCTAATAGGAGTGTCGGTAATCATCCAAATAACTACTCTCGTTTAGAGTGAGGAGTTAGAGTTTAGTTTACGGAAAATATCTTTTCCCTAAATTTTGAACGAAGTTCATCGTAAGTGTTTAATCTCATTTTATTTGATTAGTGCTCTCAAGCAGTGGAATTTCAGGACACTTGTGTTTTATTCTATTTGTGAGTTATCAACTGAATGTACTTAAATCCTCCCCCCCCCCCCAGTGATTGACGGTATTCCCATTGAGATAACATCAGTAGATCAAATTGATTTGACTCACTCAAATTTGTCTTTTTAACGCGATTGGTGGAGGCAAGATCATTGGGGGGTTCTTGTTGTTTAACTTGGCCCTTAAATGTCTATATACATGTATGTACCTATTGAAAAATAGCTTTTACTATTATCGTGATATGAAGGTGATTCAATAGAGTTTCTCACTTGTTTATGTTGACCTGATATTTTAGAAAATACACATTTTTCATCATCAGTGCCTATTTTTTCTATAAATTTTCTATGTCCTATACATTTTATGCTGGTTAACTATTTCTGAATTTATTTACTTATTTGAAAAATAAACTAGTTGTCTAGTCGTTCAGCTAAAGAAGGTTGGCCACAGCATATTAGCGCTGGTCTAATCGGTTCGTGTACTAACTCCTCATATGAAGATATGTCACGTGCTGCCAGTTTAGCTAAACAAGCATTAGACAAAGGTGTTAAAGTCAAATCACAATTCTATATAACACCTGGCAGTGAACAAATCAGAGCAACTATTGAACGTGATGGGATAACTGAAGTGTTTCAGTCTATTGGCGGTATAGTATTAGCTAATGCATGTGGCCCGTGTATTGGTCAATGGTCTAGAAAGGTGAGTTAAACATTGATTACCTTACTATAACACTTAATTTATATATGTATATATATATATATATATAGAGAGAGAGAGAGAGAGAGAATAAAGTGGAGATGGATTGATAGAATACATTCAATTGACATCACACCTGCTATTCCCTCGAGTGGGACTCGAATGAGAAGCTACGAGGAGACACTATATTGATGAGTATTTCCTGGTATTGTTATTAGTATTGCTCCTTTGGGTTCCGAGTGGAACATAGGGCTTCAACAGCTCATCTCCAGTTCGTCCTGTTCTCTTCGATTCTCTTTAGCTGGCCGACCCTACGATTGCACATATTCTGTCATCTCCTCCATGTCACCCTCAGGCGCCACACTCGTCTTTTCCAATCAGGGCTCCACTCGAGGGTATGTCTGATGCGCGATGTCATTCGATGATCTCAGCGTGTGTCCATCAATCTCCATTTTCTTCGTTATATTTGTTGAGCAGTAGGCTGTTGATTGGTTTGTTCCTAGAGTTTCTTGTTGCTAATTCTTTCTGGCCTGCCGGCCATTTGATCGTCAATATGGAGCGAAGTGGAAGCTGTCGATAAATATCTGTAACTTTCTGGAAATGCCTTTCGTAACTCACGCGCAGTACAAGTTTCTTACCCTTGCAGAGGAAGTGACTGACTTAAAACTGAGTGTAAAAGATTTCCAAACTGATTTCAAAGTGATGCAGGTCTGTCTTGCTTTTCCAATTCTGGTTTTGATGCTCTCATCTGCTCCGCCTGTAGTTAAAACGATACTGCCTAGGTGAATGAAGGAAGCGACCGCTTTCATATTTATTCCATTGATAGTGATTGGTGCTTCTTGTTTTTGTCGGTTGGTGATTTTCATCACTTCCATCTTCTCTATATTTACTTGAAATCCTGTCTTTCCTGCTTCTTCTGCCAGCTTTTTGGCCTTCGCCTGCAAGTCTTCGAGTTTGTTTGACATTAGGCAAATCATCTGCGAAATCCAGATCTAGAGTCGTCTTATTGGTCCGACGTACTCCTGCCTTCTTGCTCCCAACACAGTCTTCCTCATAATTCAGTTCATCACAGTTAGGAATAAGTCGTCTGAACTGTGTTACTGAGGATAGATGTTTCCATATACACGAGGGTTATAGCTACACTGATGATGATGCAGACTGATGGTATTACCCATTAGTTGTTCTAGAGGTTGAAGAAGTGATAGAGCGGGTTTCAGATTCATGACTGACTGAGCGGAAATCGAACGGTTAAGTCAGCAATTCGCGTATTTGCTGGTAACAAGTCATTCATTAAAAACCATTATTAGCACTGTGCATTTTTCTCATTTTACTTTATCTATCCTATTTATCACACTACTGTTCTATTGAATGAATTATAGGATACAAAGAAAGGTGATAAGAATACAATTGTCTCATCATATAATCGTAATTTCACTGGTCGTAATGATGCTAATCCAGCTACGCATGCCTTTGTTACCTCACCCGAGATAGTTACAGCTTTAGCTCTTGGCGGGAGTTTAACCTTTAATCCATTAAAGGATGAATTAGTTGCAGCTGACGGTTCAAAATTTAAATTGAAACCACCAACAGGTAAGTTAGTACTGCTTCATTTTTTCTCTTTCCTGCTTGATATGTATATTTACAAAATAAGCATACATGTATAGTGGGTGACAGTTAAATCACGTTAACTGAGTTTTATTTATTGTTACTAGATAGATGTGGTGTGGAGGCAATCGATAGGAAACCTTTTACCTTGGTTTCGTGCTAGTTGGCACTTGTCAGCAAGACGTATCCTCAGTCTTGGGGCGAATCACGTTCCTTCTGAGATTCTAATCCGTGGCACCCATTATTGTAGTCAGAAACTTTACCACTAAACTATTTAGGTTCATGATTGACCTCCTGTATAACTGTTATGGATACTTCGATTGGGCGGGCACTAGGTAGTAACTAGTGTTGTGCGTCTAGTCCTTGGTTTGGTGCTGACTGAATTCTATCAGTCAAAGTATGCCATGTAGCCACCATTCTAGGTGCTGGTCTGTCATCATGGCTCACTTTGAATCGTTGTTATTAGATGGTTGGTGGCAATCGACAGGAGGCAAAAATATAAACTTAGTAGTTTTATGATTTCTTTTTCTTTAGCTATACAATCACATTCATATACAATTCAGTGAAATGTGATGTGTTTGGGGTGAAACACAGTAGCTTAACGTGAAGCTTGATGATTTCAAGATAACTCTTACTTATGATATCCTTAAGAGACGAATTCCAACATCTTTGAGAACATTCTTTGCGGCAATGCTAATAGTAGTATTCTCCAGTCACTCGCTGATCTGTAGAAGCCTGAAAGACGAATTCTCGCATCTGACCACTGCTGTGTTTACATATCAGTTAGTTCACCTGCTACTGTCTGTATGGAGTCAGGAATATTGGTCTTTCGATGAGTATCCTGTCTAAAAGAGCTTAAAAACACTATCCCATACTGTTATGTTGCAGGAAAGCAACAGTGGCTTCATAGGGAGTGAAATAATGGGAACCTGATTGACATTGGTCACTCTATCTCAACCAATTTCTCTAAAGTGATCTACTAAGTGAAAAGTAAAGGAGAATGATGCTCGGGGAGGCTTCGTGTGCTCTTAGAAGTGTGTGGGCTGTTGTTACTCCCCGGCTACCCACACCGTGAAAGTTGGTTGATTGTTCGGGTACCTGGAACAGAGAGACGGTTATTGTTGCGTGACCGCAGAGCCCAGGGGACAACTGCTTGAGGCCGGTCATACACGGCCTGTATAAACTGGTTTCTTGGAATAGTTCCGTATTAGTAAACTTACCACCGGTTACGGACCACCGTAGGGTAAGTCAGAATGTACAACTTTTAGGGTCGACCTTTTCTGACCCTCTTTCTCCAGAGTAGAGAGATAGCATAGCTGGCATGCTGGGCATCTGAGGGAAACACCTTACTGCTGTTACATTCCTACTCTTCAGGAGTACGACTTCGCTCACAGAATCCCAGCATAGTGTAAAATATAAAATTCTTACACTGTACCGGTAACTGCTTTTAGTCTAATCTCTATCCTAACAATCTTCCTGGTATGTTAGGACCTACAGGAACACTAGTTCCAACCAGTGTAGCTTGTTGGGTCATTGCGATGTGCAAGCCCGACCACTAATTCAAGGTAGCAGCTATCGGTTGGGCAATGTTAGCTGACATAGGGTCAGGTTGGAAAAGAGCTAGCGACGGTCATACCAAAACATGGCGCCAGTCAATGAAATCCACAACAGTTAGTTTAAGCCACGTAGGAAGGTGTAGACTTCCTGGTTGGGGTTCTCGGGATGGTAAAACCAATGGCTGGAGATAATCGGTGATATGACTCGAAATCGTTCTCAATGGCGCAGATGTATCCACTCCCTGTGACTTGTAATTTCGAATGAAACTGTATTGTTCTTTGATATTACTATTCCTTTTGTCTCATATCCCTGTCTACTGTCTCTATTATGCATTTCTTCTCTTGCTTTGTGTGCTGAGTGAAGTGTGGCGACTCGAACTGCTGCATATCGGTGCAAAGTTCAGTGTCGAAAACAGACAGACTAAGTGAAAGAGGATGTCCGCAAAGGAATACACTTTTACCTCTTTTGCATTGTCGATGTTCTAGCTATCAAGATAAAGAGGAACTAGAGCTTTGCATTCAGCCACTTCTAATATCGTGGTAATCACACAGTTTACACTGCACTGTAAACGTTTTATTAGCAAAAAAGGAAGTAAGTAAATAGACTGAAAAATGTCTATCAAAATCTGATCAATATTGATGTTAATATGTACTTTCTGGGATTTCTCGATTGTTTGTATTGATTGTCCTATTTATCTACATAAGATGACCGATTAAAGTTAATCTTATTAACACACTGATCAGCGTTTAATACTCATGCTTCCGCTTTATTTGTTAACCTGTTATCTGTCTTCGTGTTTTTTTATCAAACCTCTTAAGAACACTTAATCCTTTCAATGAATAAGAAATTATTTTACCTACTGAAGTTTGATTTTAGTCCAAGTTAAACACGAGTAAAGAAAATAACATATCTAATTAAATAGGCCATATGTAATAATAACTAGAATCAAATCATGAAAATATAAATGTGTTCAACACTAGAACTAACTTAAAGTCAATTGGTGGATGGGGACTAGCAGTGGAATCTATGATGCTCGTTTTATCCTATACGGGACTCGTCATTTGGTTGTACCTGTACTCCTCAATGAGTGATGATGTTCCCACCGAGTGTCTAACCCAATGCCCATAGTTTCAAACGCCAAAGTGTTATCCATTAGACCGCTTGGGACACAAGAGCTACCTCTAAATTGAATTAAATTATTTTATTTTGGTTGATAGTGCCTAGCATTGGAATTCAGCACCAGTTTCCCCAATAGTCGCTGATCTTTTCATGAATAGATTCCAAGATAACATCTTTTCAAGCATACTCACTCCTTAAATATGATTAAGGTATGTAGATGATACTTTTTTAGTGCTAAAACGAGATCTACACAGTTCATTCTTGGAGAAACTAAACAATCTATCTCCCAGAATCCAGTTTACTTCGGAAGTAGAATCAGACGTCGATGAACTACCATTTCTAGACTACCTGTCTAGTTAAGAGCAGGGAAAACGGACATTTCAGTGTATCTATATTCAGGAAGAAAAACCACTCCAAAAAATATTTAGACTTCGAATCATCCCACCCCATCAGCGCAAAGATTTCACTTGTTTCAAGTCTTCTTAGAGGAGCACACTCTTTCATGTTAACGGATGAGAAAGAAAAAAAAGAAGAAATATCTCAAGCAAAATAACTACCCAAAGAACTTCATCAACAAAATCAACACTGACATTAAGTATGGTCGAAAACGTATTCCGAAAACATGGACCTCAACAGTTGTCATTCCATATAGAGCAGAGACGTCAGACGATATCAGCAGAGTGGTCAATAAGTACGGCATCAGTTTTCTTCAAAACATCAAACACACTACGAAACAACCTTGTCCATATAAAAGACCAAATCCCTAAAGATTCTCTATCTGATTGTGTCTATAATATGAAATGCTTGGAATGTGATGCGATATACGTCAGACAAACATCGCGAGAATTCAAAATCAGAAGAAATGAACACTGTCGAGTATCTGTTCGACCACCGAGAAATCCAGTTGAAATAGAAGAGCTTGAAAAATCATCAGCCATAGCTCGTCTATACGCTATAGAATCAGGTCACAAAATTGATTTTGACAATATTGAAATCATTCATAAAATTTTCAGATATCACAAAGAACGTATAATATCAGAAGCACTTCGTATCAAATGGAATCCAAATTGTTTGAAATGAATAGGAATGATGAACTAAAACAGAATTTGACCTGGCTGCAACACCCTCCTCCTCCATGAAGTGACCAAATCAACACGAATGTGATAAATAACTTCGTTATGTAAACACACGCTGCTTTTATAATCTTATACACTTATAAAATCCAACAATCTGCTCTTGGTTTTGTTATCTTTACCAAGTGACCACTTTCACAACGTAAAAATTACTCCATGCTGATGAAGGATGATTAAGTTGTTCTGGTTTAATCATACTACACTGATAAAGCTATTAGCAGCAGCATTAAATAACGGAACATCAGTAAAAACAATATCATTTTGTTTTTCATTCATTGGGAAATACAAAAAACCTTCATTTTAATGAATATCATATACCCAATGCCCAAATTTTTTCAAACTGTTAAAAGTGAACTTGGTTTGGACATATATAATTCATAACACACTTTCCGTCCTGTTTTGGACTCGTCATCCGAATGTATCTGCATTCCCCAGTGAGTGATGGTGTTCCCGCTAGAACTGGAAGCCGACACCCATCAGTTCAAATACCAAAACCCTATCCTCTAGGCTGCCACATGGAACAAGTATTTTGTAACGGGTATCGGTTATTATTATGATTTTTTGAGTTCATTCACATTTCCCATGGATTGTCAATGTAGAATAGAAGTGCTCAGTCTATGTTAACATGCACATCCTGAACTTCACTGCTTTAGTAGTCTCTGTTTATCGAAATAATAATCAAGTTATTTTCATCTTCAAATGAAAATAGTAATCATCTATTGTTTTAATTAATTCTTTTTTTGGTTTTCGCTTTCAATCTATGCCCACACACATATATACATGTGCACATATAGGCGATACATTGCCTAAGAAAGGTTTTGATGCTGGCCAAGACACCTATCAACCTCCACCAGAGGATACTTCAAAGATTGCTGTGAAAGTCGACCCGTCAAGTCAACGTTTACAGCTGTTAACTCCATTTAATAAATGGGATGGTAAAGACTTGATCAATATGCCAATATTAATTAAAATTAAAGGCAAATGTACAACAGATCATATATCAGCAGCTGGCCAATGGTTAAAATATCGTGGTCATTTAGATAATATTTCAAATAATTTATTTATTGGGTAAGAATATATTTAACTTATTTTTTAAAAATTATCTATAACCTTAAAATAACTTTCGCCTTCTGAGTTATCGGACATTCATACAGTGCCCTTTATATCATTCACTGCCAAGCCCAGGAACTCATTTTTCGGCTATCTCTTGCAAATAAATATAGTGTTTTTCAAGATCATTTGGAATCTAGTCAAGTGTTTTTAACTGTTGACATAAGGATAAAACTTGAGCACAGCGGTAGAGTATAACTCCATTATGGATAAAATTTTATTTTGATAATATCACAGTGTAGTATTACACAGTTATATTTACTAATGACCACGTTCCGAGTCACTTCTATTGCGTGTGTTGGGTGTAGACTTGATGAACCAGGGCTCGCTAATCAATTTCTCTCTCCACCTACCTACATTACTTTTTAGAATTTGGACTCTGTCCCACTGTATTGTGTGGTGGTGTGCTAGTGCATGCAGTGCGATTGCTGAGTTTTTTTTCTAAATTACTTATCTTCGTGGAATCAATCATTCTAACCTTAGCTAAATTCTTATGTTCTGATAATCTCACTACTCCTGATCCACTAGTTTTACCTATGTAGTTGACCTAACTCACATTCATTGCAAGGTATTTTGTAAATTATATTTTTTCTAACTGGGTCCACCGGATCCTTTAGCCTACACAGTGCCTGTGTCTGAGTGAATTATTTCCCATCCTATTGTATTTCATTGATAACACGAATGTTATTATTTCCGAATGTGCTTTATTTTCCATTCTGTTTCACGCAAGTTTTATATTGATTTTATTGAAACGTCTAATCCATTTTACTCATGTACATAAACGAAGCAAGAAAGTTGTTTGAGTATCTTCATATGATTACGAGCTCCAGTAATAAATTGTGCTCGGAACGTTGTCATTAGTACATATAACTGTGTCATACTACACTGTGATTTTATCAAAATGAAATTTTATCCATAATCGTGTTTTGGCTGGTGTTTGCTACAGTCTGCCTCCTCGCATATTATGGTATCGAGGTATTCTCTGCTGTCATTAGCAGTTGAGTAGCTTTCGTCAATACAATAAGTTCATATTGTTCACAGTCTACTGGGTCTTACAATATGAGTAGATATATTATGAGTCAATATTATTCAACATAATCTGTTCAAACCAGATATTCTACCCTTATGTGTGTAGATTAAGCGTTGCATCACCATTGGATTTCCATTGATCTATGCTATCCAGTGAAAATGTGTTTTATACCGCAGATGATTAATTTATTAGTCATGTAAAATACATAATTAGCTGTAATATCTAATTATATTGTTTTTCCTTTGGAGCAATAAATTTTTACGTTCTCAACTCAGTTTTCTGTGTCTTTCACAGTATAGAAATAATATCCGGGTAATCAGTAGTCAGTTGTCTATTATAGTGTTATAACACCACACTAAGGACGAACCCAAATCCAGTATTGTTTTCCGATAGTCATCTCAATGGGACATCACTATTCTCTTTCCATTTTTGTGTAAAAGTGAATTATTATTCTGAATCCCAGCATTAAACACCAGGCTGTTTTTAAATTTTTAACGTAGTGTGATTCGTTGGAGGGTTTCATCATGAGCTGACATCAGTTAGAGAACCATTGGAAAACATGGGAGTACTGAACAGCCGTTTCGTTAGCCTAGTTTGGGACTCTCCAGCAGTACACACCCACCGGGGTTTGAAACCGGTGGAAGTAGTTTATAGATTAAATAATATTATAGAAATTTTCACTGATTTGAGAAGTTAAATGTAAATACATTGAATAAGTCTTATGTGTGTACACAAGCCATTTGTCTAATCTATTTACCTCTTTCATCCTGAGCATCCATGTAGTATTCAACCCTCAGACAATAAATGTAGGGGTCATCGGTTAGTTAGAGATCCGCTCTGGGTAAGGATTCACCTAAAGCCTTACACACTACATTCTTTCATATTCTGGGACTGGGACTGTACTTATTATCCCCAACTCACTAACATTTTCAGAATACACTAAATTCATTTGAAAATCATCTGACAGTTTGAATAATCACACACAATTGTGATACTATATTTAATGTTGCTGATATTTTTTTGTATTCCGACTGTTCTAGTGCTGTTAATGAAGAGAATGGTGAAGTCAATAAAATATTACATCGTGAATCTGGTAAATGGGATACAGTTCCAGCGGTAGCTAGAAAGTATAAAGCTGAAGGTGTAAGCTGGTGTGTTGTCGGTGATGAGAATTATGGTGAAGGAAGTAGTCGAGAGCATGCTGCTTTAGAGCCTAGACATTTAGGAGGACGAGCGATTATTGTGAAAAGTTTTGCACGTATACATGGTAAGTTAGTTAGTTGACTTTGCTTCCTTATAGAAGGTGATATAGTTTTCATTACATGGTGGTATATACAACTGATTGGTTGGTTGATTAATTGATTGATTGATCGATTTATAGGAGTAAATGAAAACTACTCACTTCAACAAGCAATGCTTGCCGTTTTGCTCGTTTGAAGCCTGATTTGACACACCACCCATCAATGAGCTCAACCCCAAATGACAGAAACGTCCGTGCGGTATTTATATAGCTTCGATCTGCTTAATAAGCATTATTATCTGACTTCCACAACGTAAAAAACTCCTTCGAAGTGAAGACGGGAGTAAGACAAGACTGCCAATCTTCAATGATTTTCCTGATTACTGTAGACTGGATAATGTAACAGAGAGTGGGAAAAGAGGAGACAGGCATAAAAGGGGCCCACACAAAAAACTTGGAGGATCTGGACTTCGCCGATGATTTATGTCTGATTTCCCATAAACAGGAAGATATGCAAGCGAAAAGCAACAAGTTGTCAGAATCAACAAGAATCAAAGATAGGACCTCAGGTGAACATAGAGAAAACAGAGGTGATGAAGATTCCTGGCCAACAGCAACAACAACAGATAAGAATCAGCATAAATGCGAGAAATTTGAAAGAAGCAACCTCCTCTACCTACCTTCGAAGCATCGTTTCGACTACAGGCGGACGGAACTGATAAGGATATGAAAGTGACGATCGGGAAAGCAAGGCGAGCTTTCATTACTCTCAAGTCTGTGTGGAGATCAACAGCACTACTCAGCATGAAAAATAAGATCCGGATTCTTAACTCTAATGTGAAGTCAGTCAGTGGTAATTACTATATGGATGAGACTTGGCGCGTCATGAAGGCCACTTCGAACAAACTACAGACCTTCATCAACAGCTGTCTTCGCCCAATACTACTCAAGATCAGATGGCTGGCCAGAATAGATCAGTGACAGCGATCTCTGGGAACGAACCAACCCAGCAGGAACCAATTGTGCAACAAATTTTCAGGAAGAAATGGAGGTGGATTGGCCATACTCTGAGAAAACAAACCATCAAGTGACATCGCACGCCAGGCCATTGCTCGAGTGTCACCCGAATGGGAAGCGGCGAGTTGGTCGTCAGTGCGAGGGTGACATGGAGGGGGTCATGTGAAGAGGAGATGAAAGCATGTGGACAGACGTGGAGACAGGTCAAAACGTTGGCAGAGAACCAAACGCAATGGAGACGTGTGGCTGAAGCCCTACGTTCCTCTAGGAATTAACGGAAACAATAATAATAATACCAATCAGTAAATATATGCCACCATGCATTTACTCTCGCTTCGTTCATTGCCAATTATTGAGAAGTATTGACCAGACCACATCATTGTTAAATGAATCATTTTGATTTCCATAGTTGGCCTTCATGAATTTCTACCTCGAACTGTGTAAATTACAAATATTGCGAATTGGATTTCGTTTCCGCTTACTACATTGAATCAATTTCCTTTCCCATTGAATATAGTTCTCTTCTTTTTTTTTATTAGAAAATCGTTGGAGTTGAGTCATGATTGTGCTTGACTCTGGTGCTACTTGTTTTAAAATTTTCTATCATTGTAAAAAGTATATTTTTCTTTGTTTTATGTACTAACTAATTGATTAAAGGAAAAGCTTCAAATGCATTAATTATATTTGCACGAGAGCATCAAATACCTCATAAGAGTCCATAACAGTGAAATATGTTGGTACATCGCGCTTAATATTATGCAGCTAGTACCGATTGTGCTAGTTAGCAACCCGTTCGACTTGAATAAATCCAGTTTTCTATCTGTCGATTTATACATGAGCGAGCTTGAATTGCATTCTAAATGTTGATTTAAGTTACTCTGTGTTTTCCGTTGGCTGATTTTATTAGTTTTGGAATAAAGCGAGAACAACAATAGTTTTTGCTATATAAAGTAGTACTACCCTTTGTTTATTTCGTTGGCTCCTCATCAGCTGCTCACAGCCCAAAGACATTATTAAGTCTATCTGCACCAATTATTTTAACAGGCTTACAGAGTTCATTTCTAAACTATAAATCAGTATGTGCATACAATGCTAATAATAATAATAACCACTTTGTCCCAAACAATAATAATCATACACAATGGAATCTTTCCACGTTACGTAATCAGGTGAAGGAGATGGTGAAAATATCCAGTTACCAGAGCAAGGAAAGACTGATAACCGCTTCTTTCTGAACGTATAAATCGGGTTTCAGGCGCTTGATGGAGATCGCTTTGGCAAACTTAAGTAGAATTAAACTCTTTTGTCTATTGATAGTTTTGAACGATTTCGCGACGTCCACCTCATGACCCGTGTCAAGGAGATGCCTGGGGATGGCATGGTTTAAAGCATTTGTTCCCTTTAGAAATAGCCTTTTTGGTACATGTTCAGGAAATCGTAGGTATGTACTTCTTTCTGTTCTTCCAATGTAACTGCACCCGTAGGTATATATAAATTTGTATATACAGTTAGAGTTAATGTGAGAAGGATATCTATCGATTTTGACTGCACCAATGAGCAAGTTGTTCGATAGACGGGAACCAACTTTGCTGCGACATAGGCAACGTTGAGGAAATGGGACTTTCCATCATTTTCATGTTCCACAATAAATTCAATATTTGTATGTGCTTCGTTGAATAATCTCGCCAAGTAGGAAGCATAATTTGCATTGGTATGCACTACAAATGTGTCACCGACATATCGACAATATGAAGTTGTTTCGTTGATTGCATGCTTCAACTTTTATTATACCGCAAAGCTCTGTCTCTGTTAACATGTGACGGATGCTAGTATGGGTGATTTGATGATGCCTCAAGATTAACTTGATGTTACCCGATTGATGATAGCTAGCAACGGAGACGATAGGTATTGGGTTCAAATCCTAGTGGGAATCTTATGCCTCCTCATTTAGGATGTAAGCAAATCTAGTTGGTAAGTCCCCATAAGTATGAAGTGTCCGCACAGTGCCGGCCACCACTAACCAGATAACATTCGTGATATCTCTGTTTCTTTCACTGTGTTTAGCAGATATTTGTATTACCCACTGAAAATATGATGATTTCGTGCCAACTAAGTAGAATACATTTAGCAATTAAAGTGAGAACTACTCATCTCAAAAAAGAGTGAAGCCATTTACAGCCAAGCAGATGTAACATTGAGTCTATAATCCGTTTATGGTAGCTTTATTGATCTAAGCTATCGACATCCAACTTAATGGATGGTGGGTTCGAATCTTGCGCCTTCGTACCTAGATCAGGGCAGTTAACTTGTATCATCAACTCTCACGTAGTAGTTGTAGATTAATGCCACCTCTTTAGGGAAATGCACGGGGTTGTTGGGTCCTCTGCTTTAAGTTGTGAACTCATAAAAGTTTTCTTAATATATCTTTTTTGTTCATTAATCGCTTAGTCTATAGGTTTCTTCAAAGTAGTGGCAATGAAGCTTTGCAGTTCTAGACTGTGTTCTGCGTTCATTTATATCAATGTGCCTTATTCTGTTAACTCCTAGCCAGCAACTGAAATTTAAAATGTTTATCTGAAGAAATACACAAACTACTAATCAGTAGTAGTAGTTTGTTGAAATTATTATTTTGAATTTCTCGCTGTTTTTCGATCTTATTTCATCGACATGTGTTTTTTTATTTCCTGTTGACACTATATCAACCCCTAGTACGGAAATTTCGATGATGCCTGGATGTTAGCAGTGTGTCATTTAATTGATAATGACTACCATTAGAATCCAGTGTGTCCGTTTATTTCACTCTCGGTCTCGTTACCTATAATTGCCCGTATTCTCAGTGAGTGATATTGTTCCAACGGTCAAATATAAATTAATCAACTGGTAATTCAAAATAATAATTCCAACAGATAACAGCAGATACCATTTGTCCAAGAGGTGTCTGGTTTACCGGTCAATAGTGAATATGAGTGTGTATTTGAAAATATGTATGCTGGCTTTGAATCTTCGATGGGGCTCCATCACTCATTGTGGATGGAACTACATCCACATGACGAGTTCCGAGTCGGACGAAACGCATGTTTTGAATTCTACTGCTATCCACTAACAATTAAATGCTCATTAGTAGGTTAATATTTTTTAAAATCTGAATCATTATTGCTTGTAAACACTCTTGTAATATCATTTACGGTGGGAGGGGGGTGGGCTGGGTAAATTGACCACTTATTTTAAACAACTGTGAATCATTTTAAAAACTTCACTCCAAACGCTTGGATCAACTTTCCGCTGTTAATTATTTAACATGTGGGTATGATCATATAGATGTTGAATGAAATTTCTAAATGTCTGTTTCATTCCGTACTGCTGAAACAATTTCCAAAAATTCGTGGTCGACATTATCGAAGGCTTTTTCAAGTCGATGAAGTTGAGATGACGGCTATTCTAGGCCCCTGCTCGATTATGGTTATTATTCACAGTACTGTGAGTTGATCGGCTCAAGATTTGCTTCTCATGAATCCAGTATACTTTAGGCAAAGTCTTCATCTGAAGTATGTTTCTACGATAATGCCACATAGTTTTTCGTTTGATGCTGACGGGAGCATAGACGTAAGTTGCTTTATTTAATAGCTTGAAAAATTTGGCTTTCTTCCAATCATTAGGTACTTTTCTTTCCCTCTGTATCTTCTGCAATATTGGCGTGAACATATTCACTGAGGTCTCTGGGTTCCTCTTCACTGCTTCTGTGGTGATTCCTTCTGATCTTGCTGCTTTCCCGGGTGTTTAGCAACTTTATGATCTTGAAAGCTAATATTTATGTTTGACAATTAGTTTTTACTTGGTAGTTATGCGACGAGTCATTAGGACGCAGTAAGGTTTCTGTCTTGAAGGCTAATTTTTGGAAGAAACTTTTTTGTTAGTTTTGTTGTTTGAAAGCATCTTGTTTTTTTGTTCTCCTTCCCAATTTACATCTCATAGAAACAAATCTAAAGAAGCAAGGTCTGCTTCCCCTGACTTTTGCCAATCCATCTGATTACAATAAAATTAAACCATCGGATAAAATTTCCCTCATAGACTTAAAAAATCTTCAACCGGGCAAAGTAAGTTATTATATTCGTTTTGCTTTGAAATCTAATTTTTTTTAAGCCTTGAAATTCTTATATATTTTCCTAGTCGTCCTCTTTATCATCTTACCATCGAGCTAAACAAGACTGATTGAAATATTATAAATCACAAGAAGTGGATGCATCTGCGCCAGCCATTGACAACGACGATTTTGAGCCATATCACCAATTGTCTCCAACCGCCGTCATTAGTTCTTACCATCCCGATGACCCCAACCTGCCGGTCAGGATGTCTGGACCTCCTTACGTGGCTGGCTTAAACTAACTGTTGTGGATTTATTTCATTGACTGGTGATGAAGCCATGTCTTGGTTTGACCACCACCACCACTAGCCAACTCTTTTCCAACCTGATCCATCTTACGTCAACCTCTAACATTGACTGTTGTCGAGGAAGGCGACCGATGGCTAGGCTAGGCTAGGCATGCGTAACACATGTCCCAACCATCGCTCTCAACCTGTGTATTTTCACAACCTCGTCGATTGATTTCTCCTTCAACTCACCTAGCACTCGACCTACGCTAACCTCAATGTCTCTTATATTATAATACCACGCGCTACCTAACACGAGAGATAGAAGGCAGACACCTATGATCAAAGACAGCTAGTTAGCCAGATCTTATTATGTCTTCCACTTTCGACGGGAGCCATGTCTCACAGTCAGCCATAAGGGAGGACAGAGTGAACTTCTGGTGAACAGTACACCCGCCCTTTAATCAAAAACCGGTTAACTAAAATTTAACGCAGATAACTACACATCATTGCATGCCACGCTTCAAATTCAAAAACAGGAACATTTAAAAGAGAGAATAATACGCAAATGGTACTGGTCTGGGGGTAAATGTGAGCGAAATTGAACTGAATGTTTTCAGTGTAGAAAGTTGTTGCACCAAAGTTTGACAGTTCAAATTGTTGTTATACGTTATAAAAGTAGAGAGAAAAAGAAAGGAAATTACAAAGGAACTGTAATGAACAACAACAATTATGTACAAGATATGGAATAATTTCATGAAGATTAATGAAGGTTTAAATAGATCTAAGAGATTAGTTACAATGAGTGAATATGTATCATCGATAGTCTCCAGCTACTAATTTTTTAAATCGTCTGCAAAACCCTCAGTCACCTTAGTATGTGGCTCAAATCAGTCTTCATACGAGTTCATGAATTGTTGACGCCATTTTTTCGCTTGACTATCGTTGACACTTGAATCAACCCAACGTAGAACAACGACGAAATTGATGGTATATTACGAATAACACGTAAACAGCTATCCATTTAAATGCATTGACTTTCCCCTCCTTACGTAACCATGCACAGCCTTTTTGATGTAGTTATTTTCTCTGAGCTGAATAGTGGTTTATTTGCGAGTCTTCCATCGCCCCACCATTAGATCAATCTCTTCAGCGCATACTTTAATTTGAAGAGAGCCTTTGGATTTCTCCACGAGTTTATTAGTTATCTCTCCTGGTGCCTTTGAATGTGATTGGTTGATTTTATGTGTTTTCACACCCTCTAGTCTACTTGTATTGGAACTGATTGTTTCCTTGACTTGAACTTTGACCCTTTGTGTGTGAGAATTCCTTCTTATCTATTGATAAATTTTGTCTATGTCGATGTGTCTATTGATTGACGATTCACTGGAATACCAGGCTTTTAAAAATTCTCTAGCATTCTTGGTGTTTCCTCTGTCTAATATTTGAACGTTTGCCTAGTCGAATTGATGTCCGTGGTTGTCTGTATGCAGTGAAGCGATATGAGGGAGTGGATGTCGTGTCTTTTGACGTCTAAGTTACAGCGACTGCGAAAAACACTACATTGGCCAAAGTGGACGTCCCCTTCGTCTTCGTATCCATGATCATAAACTAGCCGTCAAAAGACACGACATCCACTCCCTCATATCGCTTCACTGCATACAGACAACCACGGACATCAATTCGACTAGGCAAACGTTCAAATATTAGACAGAGGAAACACCAAGAATGCTAGAGAATTTTTAAAAGCCTGGTATTCCAGTGAATCGTCAATCAATAGACACATCGACATAGACAAAATTTATCAATAGATAAGAAGGAATTCTCACACACAAAGGGTCAAAGTTCAAGTCAAGGAAACAATCAGTTCCAATACAAGTAGACTAGAGGGTGTGAAAACACATAAAATCAACCAATCACATTCAAAGGCACCAGGAGAGATAACTAATAAACTCGTGGAGAAATCCAAAGGCTCTCTTCAAATTAAAGTATGCGCTGAAGAGATTGATCTAATGGTGGGGCAATGGAAGACTCGCAAATAAGCCACTATTCAGCTCAGAGAACACAACTACATCAAAATCATACACCTGAGCTACATATCTTCTCCATCATAGCTACACAGCCTCAATATCACTGACCTTATTATGCCAGATAACACGAGATATGGAATGAAAATACCTGTCGTACCAAGTTTCTGAAACTTAATACCGCTATTTCACCCATTTCATCCACTGAACACTGGGAAGAAATATCGTGTTTAAAAAGGAAGACAAAATTGATCAAAAATTAGTGAACAATTCTGACACAGTATCTGATCTGAATTTAGTTAACCAGAAATGATGTGTGTGTATTTTCGAGTCAAGATGATTTTTTCTATCTTTCTCTTCTATATCCTTCCACCCCGATTCAAGTTTTTTCAGAGAGCAGATAAATTTTCCATGGTTAATAATTTACAATTACTCTATGAGAGCTCGTATCTTCCAGAACGTTAAATTTTTCCTGTTCGTATTCATTGCTATCGCTACTGTCTCACTTAAAAAACTTTTATTTAACCATATAAGCGTGTTGTTCTGTCTTATGTTGAATTGAATTGATTTGAAATTGGTCTGTTTGTAAGGTAGTAAATGCTCAATAGATTATCTGTTTAACTTATTGTGTATTTCGCTTTAATTGGTTTCAGTTGTACTGAAGTGTGTTTGGACAACTGTTGATAGCAACGGATGCTTCGACAACGACTGAATTTTAACATGTTATTACGGATGATGGCGTGTAGCAGTAGGATTCAGATTGTTCATTTCTCAGCGTGAACACCGTCCCTCTACGGAGATAAAAGTACATCTAGCTGACGAATGCCACACAGAACGAAACACACATTCTGGATTCTATAGCGATAGCCATCACTAACCAAATAAATAACTCAAAGGATGATTTAATTACTCATAAATATCACTTAAATATGTCAGTTACAGAGCCCTTAAAAGCCAGGAAGTACTGGATAGCTGGTTCATCCTAGTTTTGGCCCTTGAATCGGGTTCCAGTTGCTGAATGGTGTACGAGCTCACCTTGTAACCAGAGGGTCCTGGGTTCGAACTTTGGTGGTGGGTGCATTCTGCTAATGAGTCCCAAACTTGTTCGCGGAACAGCTGTCCAGTATTCCTGTCCTGGTTTCCAATGGTTCTCTAACTGATGTCCATCCGTGGTCAAACTCGAAAAATAAATCTTATCCTTGGTTGGAGGATTTCATCATGAACTGGCATCAGTTGGAGAACCATTGGAAGACCAAGGAGTACTGGACAGCTGTTTCATCCTAGTTTGGGAATCATCAGCAGTGCGCACCCACCACCAGGGTTTGAACCCAGGACCTTCTGGTTACAAGGCGAGCTAGCTCGTAGTCCAATAAGCCACTGGGACCCGACCCAGTGGCCAGTCAATGCATAAATTCCAACTTCTGCCAATTGATGACATAGCGCAATCACTTCGCATGATGAAATCCTCCGACCAATCAAACAAATATCCCTACAAAACCAATACTTGAAAATCTAATCCTTATTAATCAACTCTTGAAAACTTAAATGTATGTCGGTTTATTTTTGTTCAACCAGCTTTTGTTTCCGTTTTCTATTTTGTTTTATTTTTTATCTCTTGTTTTCTAGCCTGTTCGTTGTGTCCTTCATCATGAAAATGGTCAAAGCGAAGAGATACAATTAATGCATACCTTTAATGAAAATCAACTGGAATGGTTCAAGGCTGGTAGTGCTTTGAATAGAATGCGGGAATTAAGCGGTCATAAATAAACGTGTGAATATGAGCATAAAAAAAATACATATTACACGAATATGCATATCCTTGTCGAGAAGACGTACATGCGTGTGTGTCTGTGCTGTCCATCCGTCAACCTGTTGTTTACACACACACACGCCTAACGGTCAAACAATCAGCGACTTTTGTAGTTTCCTACCTACTTTAACAGCATTTTGTTTCCTCCTCAGCACCTTCATTTCCAAAAATTAAATTTATCTTCCCTTCTTCCTTTCTTTCTTTCTCTATACTTCGTTGTGTTATGTAGTTAACTAATAAAAATTGTCTTTTGATTTAACTCTGTGTGTGTGCGTGAATGTTTTTAGATTACTGAGATTTTGAGCCTCTTTTACTGTTTCCCCCTGCCCCTCTTTTCCTTCTTCCTTCATAGATAATTAGGTTGTCATTTCAGAATTTTTCAAGTAGTCTAGTACTTAATTCATAATATATATATATATATATATATATATATGATAGACGGAGAAAGTAATGTTAATATACATTTGAATTATCCACTAAACATATTCATTTTCCTATTCAACATAGCTATGCTCTAGCTTATTAATGTGGCTACTGGCAGCTGAATATCCTGAAGTTTGTAATTAGAAATGATAGTGTGAGGAGTGCTGTGTGGTGTATTTGTAACGACAGAAGGCAAGAGTCAGGCAACAGATCATTTATTAAGGAAAATCAACACATATTTATAGATTTTAACGTACATTATTGTAGATTATTGTTAGTAGAAAATACAGCCTTCTGATTGGTTGTTTCTCACAGAAAGTTAACCCTGCATCTCTTTGTGGCTGTGTCAGATCATCCTTATGCTAACTGTATCCGCCTACGCAAAGCCTTTGTTCTCATTTTCTCACCACCAATATTGGGGACATAAACATTGATGTCAATTACTGTCTACCAATTTGGCTAGCAGCCATCTCTCACCACATATTAATCAAAGATAGAATGAAGGCGTTATTGAATCCCTAAATAATGGCTAAATATTCACTAGACTCACTTCATAACCCGAAATAGCCTCTGGATACGATCTATAGAGTGGAGCCAAAAGTGCACTCACTGTGGATGGTTTGTGAATTGGGACGAAACAGTTGTCCAGTTCTTCTTGACTTTCAGAGATTTTTTTTAAATACCTCATTTCAGTTATTAACGAAATCTATCTATCCTCGGTGTGTTGATTACAATTCTTACAAAACATAAAATGTAAATAGCTGTTCTGTCAACAGGTGTAGAAAAATAGTAAAGATAGTTGAATAATTAACTCTTGTGACCATAAATCAGTTTGCATTTACTTAAAATTTAAGACTAAAGTGAACAGTATTGACCATCTCATAGACCACCATTAGCAGGAAAGCAAATAAAGCGTCAGTCTCAACATCACTTGGAAATACACTGTGCCCATATTAAAGAATCCTGTAGAGACTATGAAAGCAAAATAATTTATCTTATAGAATACAATGAAATTTATGAAATCTGACATCTCATTTTGGTAGAGGAGTTGCCTTAACGGTTAAAGATGCCCACTGAGAATTCGAAATAACTGATTCGTGCTTAAAAAAATATTTTCGATAACTTCATCAGATTCTACAGTTATATGCATCTATAGGAATTAAACAACTATTGTTAAATAAAAGAGAGAAGGTGTTCAGCTGAGAGTTATTCTTTTTGGTAATATCATTGTCAAGCTGCACAATCGCATATAATATATATATATATATATATATATACATTTGTAGCCATGACAACATGGAGTAAGAGCGGAACACTCTGAAAATAATTCTCCCTGGAAAAATGACTACCCAGAACTTTTCATCACAAAGTCGATGAAGCTTAAACCACCAAAACTGCCCACACTTTCTGCTCCTGAAAGACTTTTCTACCTGAATTTACAATTCAATGGACAGAAATACTCAGAATCTGCCTGTCCCGCTTATTGATCAAAATCTTCTTCGCAGTTGTACTCCGACTAACTTTCTCGACAAAACCAATTATTCACTGCTGACCTCATCAATGTACATCTATCAGTTCACCTGCTCCTATGGAGCTGGGTTTGTCAGCCGCACTCAACTTTTGCTATCCAAACGTATCATCGAACACTTACCCTCATGATTTTATAAACGGGAAAAAGACCCCACTGGCAGCTCTGTCCTAGAACACCAGGCTGGCCCACAAACCAACTTAAGTCATCTACAGAATACGCAGGAATCGTGTTGCAAGAGTGCGAAATCAGATTTCTTCAAACAACAGAAGTAATAGCAGTTCACATGTTAAATCCCAAACTCTGCATACAAAAGAAGTTTGTTCAGTCATAAAACCTACAATGGACCTGATCTATCTTAACATTGTATACGTAATTCCTGTTTATCAATTGTATTATTTTCTTTCCTCACCCGCTATTAAATTTCAACTCCTTATTACCACTGTTGTTAACTTGACTCTCGTTCAATTTAGTCTGAATTCTACTCAATCCCATCACAGTTATATTACGTCACTCAATTTATTTACTTTATCTTTTACCCGATAACCTTTAATCTTACGTAACATTTTATCTAAAATTTGTAGTTTTAATGATAAATCTTTGGAAATATTCCTTTTGTTGCTAAGACAATTTACTACATATATACGATTGTACATCCCTAGAATGATATCGGTGAAAAAAGTAACTCTTTGTTGAATGTCGTTTCCGTGACTTAATGAGGATTTTAAGTTATTTTCACTGATAACATCTAATCAAATAAGATGAGGTGATTACAGTTCGAAATTTATGCGGCAATATGCATAAATCTAGCGTAAAATTGGACACCAGTTAAATTAGGAATATAATGCAGAATTTATGGAATTACAGATTCTACCTCAGGCCAGAGAAGCAATAGGGTGTTTGGGCCTGTTTCTACTTTAAACAAAGTTCCAAATTGCAAAGTTCTTTGCTGCTTGGAGTATTCGGTAGCCAGCGTGTTTAGGCAATTTATTCGGTAGAGGATGCTTGCTCCATGGCTTGCTTGGACCCAGGTGCTCTGATGTCAAATGGTTGGCGGTCCTTACTACACGTTTATTTAGCCATAACGGTAAGTTTTCCCAAGCACAAGAAACTAAGTTCTGAGAGAAATGGCAAAATGAACTAATTCTGTAACAACAGAAGACAAGGGCCAGGCAACAGAACGTTTATTACGGAAAATCAACACGTATTTATAGATTTTGATGTACATTATTGTAGGTTAATGTTAGTAGAAAATACAGTCTGTTGATTGGTTGTTTCTCACACAAAGTTAACTTTGCATCTCTTGTGGCTGTATCAGTTCATCTATATGTTAACTGTATCCTCCTGTCCATCTTGACCTTGACCTCAATTACTGTCAACCATTTGGCTAGTAGACAGCTCTCACCACAGTTCCACAGGAGTAGCTGAGGTAACATATATGATAAGAAGTGGCTGGCGTAGATAATCCATCCTTTAGTTGAGGGATGACAACCGGCAGTGTGAAAAATATCAGCTGTTGCTAAATGATATTAAGAGATTTTGATTCAGTTTTCTTAACTTGATGGTTCCCGGCCGATAACTGCTACCTTGCCGTGGTGGTCGGGCTTGAATGCCGCAGTGACCCAACAAGCTAAACTGGCTGGGACTCATGTCCCTGCAGGTCCTACCATGTCAGGGAAGTTGTTTGGATAGCGGTTAGACTAAAAGCAGTTACCATGGGGTACATGGGCTCCAGTTTCCAATTGGATCGAATGGCGTATGAACCCATATGGGTCACCGGCAACCATGGGAATGCAGCTCCTGACGCTGCTCCGCTGCCTTGCGGATTAGACTCCAAGTCAAAGGCTCGGGGGGTGGTCCCTTAATAAAACCACCTGCTTCGGTCTGGGCGCCCGGGCAGTATCTCAGCCCGCACACAATGAATGAATTGAAACAACGAACTCTCATTGAAACTCAACGCGCGCTAGTAAAAATGATTCCAAGCAATACTGATCCCTCAAGCAACTTATTTCCTTCCTATCTTACTTTTATTTTTACACATAGTTTCCTGTATTTTACCTTTTCTAACCTTGGCTTCTTAACCTTCGACAGCCTTTCACCTTTGTCGAGATTCCCAGCCTATCCGTGTCGTTTCAAGATGTTAGTGAGTAGTCCTCAAAATGGTTGTTCCCAATGTGACTTCTAACACAGATATCCTGAAACCGCGTGCTGCGTTCAAGCTGGCTACCTACAATGTTCGGACGCTGATGCAAATCGGACAACAGGCAGGGTTGGCAAGAACTTTGGAAAGCCTCGCTATCGATGTCTGCTGCATTTCGGAGACCCGCATTCAAGATCCCAGTGAAGTGCTTCGACTGTCCTCTCCATCTGGAAGTTCTAGTAGTATGTACCACCTGCGCTTATCCGGGGACCCTGTGGCATCAGCATCCGGCGTAGCTGGTATCGGTGTCGCACTGAGCGCTAGAGCCGAAGCCGCACTGCTCGACTGGATTCCCATTAACAGTCGTTTATGTGCTGTGAGGCTGGAAGGATATACGAAAGTAAGGAGTAGTAGGCCAGATAGGCGGTGTCTATTTATTGTCTCTGCCTATGCACCGACGGATTGCAGCCCGGATGCAATGAAGGATGAGTTTTACTACCAACTGAGCGATCTGTTGAAACAGGCGGGTCGGAGGGATATCGTAGTGCTAGCTGGGGACTTGAACGCACAGGTCGGGCGTCTAAGCTCAGAGGAGAGTCGTCTAGGTGGTCAGTGGGGACTACATGGTCGCAGGTCAGATAATGGGGACCGTCTTCTGCAGCTTTGCGCGGATCACAACCTATTTCTAGCCAGCACCAACTTCCGGCACAGCCATCGCCGTAGCGCTACCTGGCGTCCTCCCTCTGCGAAGCAAGCTTGGACTCAGATTGATCATATTGCGGTCAGTTTCCGGTGGCGAGGATGCATATAAGACTGTCGCTCCTTCTGGAGCACATGCCTGGACTCCGATCATGCGTTAGTGTGTG